ACGACCAAAGCAAATTTCCGAATTTTTACTAGCAGAAAAATGAACGTTTGATACCATTAAACCAATTTTTTTTTTTTTGTGTTCCAGTAGAAAATCAAGGTTAAGCGTCCCGCCCTTTTTAGAGTCCGCCTCCTTTTTTTTCAAAAAAAGATTAATTTTAAACAGTGACATCATTCTGGCCTCTTTGTCTGTTTCATCTAGCCCATATAAAGCTGGTATGTCATTCCTGAGTCCAAGTGGCGGCCATTTACAAAAAAGCTGGCGGCTATCTTGAAAAATAGCCTGGCCAGGCGGCCATTTTGGAGGGGGAAAAAAGGCCTTTTCCTTCCTTTTTTCAAAAAGGCAGGATGCTAAACATGTTTTTTTTTTTATTTGGCCTTACAGCCCCAAACCCTACGCCCCATTTTTTTGACCAAATTTTGTCTTTGGCCCCCCCCCCCTTCCCCCCCTTCCCCCCCACCCCAAAAAAACCCAATTATGTTCTGGTTCTGCCCTTAGCGTCGGCTTCTAAAAAAGAAGTATAGCTTTTATGTCATTCCGACTTTTGTTGGCTCTTGAAACACATCTATTGCATTGAAGAAGTTCATCAATGAACGCCATAGTATCACTGAACCTTAATATACATACTCAATCAATTGATCAGCCCACAGACGCACAAAGCAGCATCACTTATACGTGAAGTTATGATCCATTCTACACCCTACTTCCGGAACACAGAAAACATGCCAATGATTCAAATTTTGTTGGGTATCAAAGGTTCATTCCATTTTTGTCTGCTGGTATATATTCGGAAATTTGGTTTAGTTGTAATCGCAATTTTCAATTTTCTGCTAGCAAAAAAATGGATCCCTTAGGCCAAAGATCGGGTTATTATGATTAAAACAACAGAAAAAGTGTTCTCAACATATACATGTATTACTCAAGAAAAACTTGCTATATCAACTTGAGACTTAGTACATGTATGCGCACAGTGGCGTAACCAGAAATTTTTCAGTGGGGGGGCGCTGGGGGGGGGGGGCATTATGCAGGGGCGTCAATCGCTTCTCAAAAGTGGGGGGGGGGCGGACATACCTTGATCAGAACTGATGCGAGCGTGAAGCGTGAAGCGCGAAGCCCTTACGGCGTGGGGTTCGGGGCCCGCTTAAGGGCCTTGAAAAAAAATTGATTCTAGATGTTCTGTGGTGTGATCTGAAGCAATTTCTTACCACTTTCCCTCCATGCTTTAACTAATATTTTCTTAGCAAAGGATAATTATTTGAACATCATTTTCGAGGTTGGAGTCATTGAATCAGCTATCGGTATTTTGAGCTATAGGCGTGGGGTTCGGGGCCCGCTTAAGGGCCCGAAAAAAAAAATGGATTCTCGATGCTCTGTGGTGTGATCTGAGGCAATTTCTTACCACTTTAACCAATAATTATCATAGCACAAAAGATAATAATTTAAACATAATTTTCAAGGTTTTGTCAGATAAAGGCACAAGAAAATTTTTTTAACTTTGTTTTCGAGGTTGGAGTCATTGAATCAGCTACCAGAATTCTGATCTTTAGGCGTGGGGTTCGGGGCCCGCTTAAGGGCCCCGAAAAATTTTGGATTCTAAATGCTCTGTGGTGCTATCTGAGGCAATTTCTGACCACTTTAACCAATATTTTCTGAGCAAAAGATACATTGTAGTACATAATAGGGCCCTGTAAATGAGACACGAGTTCAAAGATCTGGGGGGGGGGGACATTTGATATTGTGTCCCCCACCCTTCAAAAAGTGTGTGGGGGGGGACATTTCCCCTGTCCCCCCCCCCCCCCCCTAGGGTTGACGCCCATGGCGTCATGTAGATCAATGATAATTTTTTTAGAAACTCAAAATCTCAGTGGGGGGGGGGGGGGGGTGACAAGGTTTCATGGGGGGGGCGGTCGCCCCCCACGCCCCCCCGGTGGCTACGCCACTGTATGCGCAGCTACATGGGTTGTTCTTAGGATTGCCATTCCTAGACTATCCTAGGCTATCTGGGTAGTGTGGCGATAAACGAGATAGCGGCAAGACATTTGGGGGTATATCGGCCACTGGTTATTCCCTCCCTCGGCCGTCTTGCCTCGTGTGTAAAGAGAACGTTGGGTATATCAGCCAGCAGTTGTTCCCTTCCCCCTCGGCTGTTCTCAACTATCTTGGTTGTGCCATAGTACGAAATGAGATAGCAGTGAGTTCCACGCAGAGCCAACAACGTACCGGTAGTCTGTTTCAGGCATCCCGTGTTCCATGGTTTGACCGTCGTAGACATACGCCCTATGATATGTGTAACCGGGGAGAGTGGGATTTATTAGTTTTAAAATGTGGCACTCTCCTTACAACCGAGTGGTTCCACTAAAAAAATGATTTGGGTAGAGCGAAGTTTTCTGTTGTCTCAATAATATGAAATGTTTTATTTATAGTACAAATATGAGACAATATATATACAAATTAGTATTTACAAAAGAATTACAGTATATATATGAACTTTGGGTATATCAAACGACTTTGTAAGGTGTATAAAAACGACAGTCAAAAAAGGGAAATAGGCTAATGAAGTCGCTCAAAGGATAGTATCTGAAATGCATAAAAACAATAAATGACTAATGAATTATGGGAATAACTTCCAGATCCAAATACATTATTAACGATATTTAATTCAAAGAAATTTGGGAAAAACTGGTTTCCTTATTTGTAAATCAAAACACTTTTTTATACATGCATCAGTAAAGGGACAAACTGTGGCATAAAATGACTGTTGCCCAAACAGAAGAATTATTTAAATGGCAATTATGCAAGAATATGAATATTTTATATACATGTAGTGTAATTTTAAATCCGAAAATAGAAATGAATTATTCACCAAGTTATGTTATAATATGAAATAAGAATATAATACCGTGCCCTAATAACGAATACCCCAATGATCATAGCACTTTAAAGAAAACCGATAGTTTGGGGAAAATGGGAAAGTCTATTTCAAATGATAAATGTGAACATAAATATTATAGCAACACTAAAATCTAAGTTAAAGTTTGCATACTCGTGTTGCTCAGAAGTTACCAATTTGTTTTTGTTTCAAAAGGAAAAATGGAGATTCACAAAAATAAAGTACCTGATAACATTGTTTTCCGGAATTGCCGAAAAAATATTAAAATAGTAGGAAATTGTGTTTAAATAAATCGACGGTGTTTACACGAAATGTTCAAAGTATAAAATATAGTCAACAGAAAATCCTTTTCGCCATGCCACTCATGTAGGAATTAAATAGAGAATCATTAGGGAAAAAACTGATTCCCAAAAATACTTGCAAATCAGATTTATTTCAAAAGTTATTAATCAGTCGTGATCGCAAGGCAAATTTCCGGCCGTGTCCGTTTTGACGGCCTTAATTTCTGGCAATAAACAAAGCATACAAAAGACCAGAATGTTGCATAAATGATGGCATAAAAAGATTCAGGCATAAAAAGGTTTTAGGCATAAAAAGGTTTTAGGCATAAAAAGTGAAATGTCAGACAAGGGATTTACCACCACTTGGGATGGTCTACGTTCATGCCTTCTCCGTGTCCGATGTCAAAATCAAAGTTCAGCAGTGAAAATAGATGAAAATATTTTACTGCTATAGGGAGCCTCTCTCAAACTTTGTAGATATAAGTGGAGAGTGTAAGTGCTCGCAAAATGATGGTTTGAACGCAACAAGGTGTTGGATCGAAATCAAAGTTATTTCGCAGCTAGCCTTACAAGAAAATTATAACGAAACGCCCGGAATGTCAGCTATTTCTCTTAAACAAAGCGCGTGGAATGTTAAACTCGCATGCTATTGCATAGTTGAGCAAAATTCTAGGCGGCGCGCACTGTAAAAAAAAGTTTAGTTGGCCGCGAGAGGGCGCTAGGCAAAAAGCATGATCGCAATGGCTGCTCACATATAAAATGACACAAACACGAAGTTAAGAAGTTATGATATGAATGCTGGAGTAAGGAACCTGTTGGGTAAAAGTAAGTACTGAAACCCGACCTGGTTACAATATGGAACACCATGATGATGGCACTGGGAGAAACCTCCCCGAACAACTGCGGTTCCCCAGGCCATATGGGTCCCACAGTAAAAGAAGGGTGCAGCAAAGGCCACCAGTGGCCCCAAGGGTAAAACCCAAAAGGGGACCACTTGTCACTCAATCACGCCATCAGTTTCTGGACCATTGGCATCACCAAGCCACCCGGCGTTGATCTCCCGTGGTTCCAACGGAGGTTTTTCCTCTAAACCCCCCCCCCCCCTCCAGATTTACCCAAGACATAAATGTGCCCCCTCAAGCATAAACGTGCCCCCTCGAGATGAAAACAAAACTGGACCTAAAATGTCGGATAATTGTTTTAAGTAACCATTTCCCAAAAAACCGTGTAGGGAATTCTTATATGAACGAGGAATACAAAAACCAAGCCCCAAAACCCTTACAATGCGCCCTGAAAATTGGCACATTATGTGTAGTTTGCATAAAAGCCGGTTTTGAAGAGCAGCGCCCCCCCCCCCCCCTATTTTGAAAGACGGTACCAGCCCCCCACCCCTCATTATTTGATTTTATGGAGGCAAAGTGTCCGGTGACAAAAACGTGTCGAAATTTCAGCACAGATGTTCCTCTCCCCCCCCCCCCCCCCAAAAATGCTGGATACGCTGTTGCACCGACAGAAGATGCCTTTTACTAAGCAAGTGCCCCTTTTGGTGGTGCCCTCCCTCCTCCCCCCTTTGAAAACCATTTCGCCGCCACTGATACAATATTTGTTATAAAATAATAACCCCCAAATCCAGTGATTTCTGAAAATTACAGCAAAAGCAGATGTTGTATATTCCTGTTAATGTACACACTACCTACCTTTCATTTCAAAATGTATTATTACACAGGCAGGGATTTATATGTTAGTTGGTATATTCGTACATATTTAGAAAAAGTAATCAAGATAATTCTCTTAATATTTCTCAATTTTTCTTTTTCTATCCAATCCAGATGAACTAAAGGAATTGCTGATGTCTCGGCTTATATTAGACATGTACACAGGGAAGAAATGTCCAGATCCAGTCATGCTGTGGCTTTTACAACTTTGTGAGTTACTCAATTTACTTACCTTTCATGTTTAGTCATTTTAGATGCAACTTAACTCATGCTTGGTAGTATTTTTTTTAATTTCCCCTTGAGGGCAAAATCTTTTTAACTTTTGGTACATTTTGCTTCATGATAAATCAGAGTTGTTGTTTTTTTAATATGAAGTGAGATCAACAGAGGTACCAGTGCTGATGTTTCGAGCTAAGGGGTATATCATGTACATAATTATTTATTTTCTTGATGGGAATAGAGTATAACTTTCAGATAAAAATATGTTTACTGTAATTGGGAGGAATGTGTGCCGTCATTGTTTTGTCAACAAACATTAGATTTCCATTACAGAAAATACCTCACCTCTGTTTACCTACATTTGCATATCAGCGCGCATGCGCACAAACATTCGCTGAAAAGAATAGCGCCCAAGCCACACCCTCATTGTCCACTGCATGCCCCACGCCCACAAAGGACCCTGTAACGTAATAGCTCGTTCTAGTTTTTCAGCGACGTGTAGTGTAAAGACGTACAATTTTTAGCTGTTCTCGCTGTGATTACAAAATGGCGGACTCTGCCAAAACCAAGAAGAAAACTGTCTCAAGCCCTTCTACTGGAAAGTCACCCTCTACTCAATCCAAGCGTGATAATTCCTCTGCTACGACTGGGTCCAATCTCCCGGGTTCGGCAGTTTGAATTTCTCCGGGGTCAAAGAATTCTCCAATGAGAATTACGGCCACTTTCCGACAAATCTCGCATTCTTACGGCAGTCTGCAGGAGCACATGCATGCTTCGGAACAACAGGTCGACTCGCATGTGCAGGCGGGACGGCGGGGCTTGGCGTTCGAAACCCAAAGGTCCCTCGGTAATCCGACCAGCCCCGCCAGGTCACAGAGGCTTGGGGCACCACCACCACCATCATCTTCAGTCAGCCATACTACGGGTTCGTATTCTCAACCTAGTTTTACAAGCAAATCTCGGCGAGATTTTCTTCATCATTCGGAGCCTCACACGTGGTCCTTTTTCCCGAACGATCCTCGTCAGTTCGACCACAATTCTCACACTCCGTATCCACTCAGTGTTCCAGCCTACGACCCTGCGGGTTTATCCCCAGACTTTTCCGATAGGATTTTCACACCATTACACACCTTATCAGGGTAATTCTTCACATTCTCCGCGAGATCATGGCGTACCTTTCACAGGACAAAGACTCCGTTCTCCGCAACGCTTCAGTGAACACACCAGCCGGGCGGGGAGAGAACGCCGCAATTCACGGCGCCGTTCCCGGTCTCATGCGCGGTCCCGCTCGGACTCCGACGATCGACATCGGCGCCGACATCGTTCTTCTCGTCATGATCGTGATTACTCACAGTCGGATTCTGGTCATCGAAGCCGACACTCACATTCTAGATCTCCTTCAAGGTCTTCTTTTTCCTCGGGCCAGACAGTGGATGAAGATAGTCTCTCCAATGTCCAACGGGCTAATCTTACGATGACGGCAGTGGGTAAGATCCTTCAGTTTCCACCCCCTTCCCCAGTCGAATCTACTCGACCTTCATATCGCAGAGATTCTGGTACTCGTAAATATAAGCCTTCGCAGCCCACTTTTCCTATTGATAGAATGTGTGCTGACTCTATGAATGAGTCCCTTTGTCAGCTGCAAAACAAGCACTCTCTCTCTTGTGGACCGAGCAGGTTTGCAGGCATGTTCAACACCAATAAAGCGGACACTGATAGATTCTTTTCTACCCCTTCCTTGTCCTCTGAGGCCAAAGACTTGCTGAGACGTGAGAATCCGCAATCTCATAAGCAAATTTTTGATGCTAAGACGAAAACACTTGACAAAAGAATTGCCTACTTGGATAGCCATCTGCGTCAAGGGTCCAAAGTGGCCTCTTTCTCCATCCTGTTATCGGATTCCCTTGCTCGATGTTATGGAGATCCTTCCTTGTGTGAGCCATATAAGATACCTGAAATGTTCCATTTTTTGGATGATTGTCTGAGTTTTTGCCTTAAGGAATTTAGTTTGGGTTTTGCTTCAACTTCGTTGCTGCGACGCTCCCTTGTTGTAGACAAGTTGTTTCTCCCTCCACTTGGGGCGAAGGATCGCATGCTAGACCTTCCCCTGGCTGGGCGTGATCTCTTTGACAACAGGTTCGACGAGACTATGTTACACGAAGTTTAATAAATTTAATCTTTGAAATTCCATATAAAATCAACCGTGAGAGACCGCAACTTGAATTTTGCGGGATTCGACATGATAATACATGCTCTTCATTTTATCTTGTGCGCGTAAAATCACGTGACCTTTCCTTCCGGTCGAAACCGGAAGTGGTTAATAGTTTGAAAGTGGAGATATGAACTTGCTTTTAATGCTGTTGGTGTCTGCCTCAATTGATCTTTCAAACAAAATTATTGGTGACGCCATGAAGTGTTGGAGCACCCTCTAGCAGCGGGTTTAAAAAACGTCAAAAACGCATTTTCAACTTGATGTCTGTGGCGAAGTTTGCGGTAATCGCTTCAAAATTAATGAACCTTAATGCAGACATATGCGCGAAAAAAAATTGATTACATCATCAGATCGGAAGTTACAATAAAAAGACCTTTAAACCTTCAAAAATTGCTAAAAAATCAACCGTGATAGATATAATCAAGATTTGGCTTATATAGCACAGTTGAAATAGCTCTTGAACTTTCTGGCAATAACGTCACAATGACATCATCAAGTATCATATTACAAGCAATCAAAGATTTTAATCAATATAACATCAACTGCTACAGATTTGATTCTGTTTTTAATGGCAATCGATACAATATTGCAGGGTCTTCATTTTTTGGTATTAAGTGCAAAATCACTTGACCCTTCCTTCCGGTCAAAACCAGAAGTGCCTTATTATTTGAAATTGGCAGAAGATGCGAACTTGCTTTCAACGATGTGAGTGTCTGCCTAGGCAGTACTGTACCAACATTTTACAGGTGATGTCATCAAATGTTAGAGCGCCCTCTGGCGGCATGTTGAAAAAGTCAAACATGGATTTAAACATGCATATTTTGAGTTGATGTTTGTGGCATGACGTGAACACTCCTCCTAAGACCAACCCGACCAACCATTAGGCAACTCGGGTTGGGACGCACCATTTTGGGGAGCCTGCCCTAGGGGATTAAGATATTTATAAGCACTTATCCTATAATTGGTTCCTAAAAGGAGCGAAGGTCACTCTGCCTGAGAGATTTCAAGAATAATATTTGGTTGCTAAATTTAATCTGTCAGCCAACAAAAGTATTATCATAATGACGTACCTGAAATGTTAACTTGTTTTATATGTTGAAGTGTGAAAATCTGTGAATAAATGGCTGAGAACGATCTGTTACTATTATGCTAGCATAAAACCGCAATTCACCAGAAAGTATAGTTCCAGAAAGCAGTGTGGCTAACATGTGGTATTTCATTTAACCACAAGTCATTATCTCGCTGGGACAGTCAGTACGCAGTGTGGTCGATAATGAGGCACACAGCGAAGTTTTACTTGCAGCGAGTTGTACGGTCTCGGACCTTCAAGAATTCACGAGGTTTCGCGAGCGTTCGGCAGTGCCCCTGGAAGATAGACGAGAAACCCGTTTTCGCGGCAGTGTTGGGCCAACATGGAGGGGTAAGTGAAAAAATAATATTTTCGGCGTCGAATGATACCATTTTGGGGGGATTTTATTGTTGTAAAGGTGATTAATTAGACTTGCCAAATGAGTTATGAAAATCCTATTTTTTTAAAAACTACCTGCACGTTTTGAGTGATCCTGACTAGCTCGGGATATTGTTGGATAAAATTTGTCATTTCCTGGACTCTTGAAGAGTTATGCTTTCGAACCGTACTATTCCCATCTCTGCAGGTTTTGTGGGCGATTTATATTTTGATGTGAAATATACGTGAAAATTGCTTGATTTTGGTCAGCAACGTCTTGACGGATGACGTCACTCGTGTACATGTATGTAGTGTATGGATGTGTATTACCGGTACCATATGTACACGTAGATGGGTGCATCGTGACCGACGTCGACAATAGGTTCCTACCCGCTACTTTTGCATGTCGCATCAAGTACGAACAAAACAAATACATCCATGTGCATGTACATGATGTAGGCTATGCATTAGGAAAGAATGTAGTATCCAGAAGCCACTTATATGTAATTCAGCGGTTGTGTACAAGGTCTATGAGTATGAAGAGTCAAGAAAATTAATTTTCTAAGTATTTCCTAACAAAATTGGAAATGATTCTCACATTAATCTCAGTCCCAGATTCATGTCTTTTTTCAACATTTTTGCAATGACTAACCATGGACTAACCTAATATTTCTTTCCCAGTAAATATACATGTATATTGATTGATTATAATTTTTCTCTCCTTTATCTTTTCTTTAATATACCCTAGGTCAAGTACGCAGAGTGATTTACCCGTTTTCCCTGTCAAGATAGTTGGACACCATGGACACAACATCCGCACTGGAAGATGAACATGACCAATTTCAATGGAACTCTATTATTTTACTATGGATTGAACTATACCATTTTTGTGGTGCGACTCGATAATGATTTGGCATGTTTAATTCAATGACGTGTGATCAACAACTCACAAACAGACAAATCAGGCGCCGGGGAATGTTACGCCATGTCGCATGGAATATTGCATGTATTGTTCGATGATAAAAAAAAAAGAGGAATAAGCACTTCCATGGTACATGTAATATGCGCCATCTTCTTCACATGACAAAAAGAACAAGCATTGCTAGATGTGGACCTATTTTGAAATGGACACATTTGGAATGAATGCATGATGACTTGGAAGCACAAAATGTTTTGTTTGATGAGGTGTAGACTGCAACGCATGTAAATTTGCCCAGTACGCAAGATGACGCATTACAGTGAAAAAAAATAATCAGTTCAATCAAAGTTCTCTAAATATTAACTTCCAGATTTATTTCACAAATTAATCCATTTGTCAGTAGCCTTTATTCTGTGTATTGAAAACCGATAATACAATACAAACCTCTGTGAATGGCTGTACACTGCACTCGAAGTCCATATCGACGTTCAGAAAATACGCAGACTGCGTACCGGTAGCATTATGAACCACTGGCAACTTTGCTGATCGTCTGCGAGACAGTTTGCGTCTGTCTGAGTTGTCGGCAACACTTCCAGATGAAATGTTTCCATATCTGTTTTGCAGTTTTGGTCCCTTTTTTTTCCGTTTCACTTTGCATTTCTTACGTTGATATGGAAACTAGCCTGAACAGAATTGATTGCTTGTTTGTTTGTAACCATTGCATATTTGTTCTTATACACCTGCATTCTTACCCTTGTAATTATTAAGAAATATAATTATTGTTATTGCCAAGGGCTGGAGCGGTTGAATGATCTTGTTGTTGTCTTAAATGAATTGCTGACGAGTTGTGGAATTTTATAAGCTCATGGTTTATACATGTAGCAAGAGTGTAGCTACTCCATGTACTTGTACATTGTACATCAGTGTTTTCCAGAGCATTAATAACCTCACACAATAATGAAACTGTGCCTTAATTTTCATGTTCACCTTTTTTTTTCAGATCTATATTTGTAAGTCATTCCATGTTGTGAGAAACTTTCATTTGTAAAGTTTTTTTCTTGGAAACTGAAAGTGGTTCAAATATTGAAGTGTTTCAGTATACCTCAGTGTTTAATGTTTAACTAAATGCAGCTGAGAGTATGTAATTTTGATTTTATGAATAAAGTGTTTCCAGAATTGCAGTCAAGAAAAGAGACAACTTGATTCTTTATATTTGTTTTCAGGTTCATGTCCACCTTCCTACTTAAGATAAAGCCAAAAATATAGCTTAAAACATAGTGATTTATTTTGCGAATTTGTACTCGCCCAACTTTTCCAATAAATCCCCACAATGGTTAAGAAATAGTTATTGCATTGCATAAAACAGTCGTAAAACCAGACACTCAAGAGGCAAGCATGGGAAGTTCCCTTTTACGCAAGCCTTTTTTTAATAATCATTCATCATCATCCGTCATGTCATTCCATCCTAATCAAGAGCCTTAGCAATTACCCAAATCATTGGAGAATCAAGCAATCACCTGCCTACATCCTAACCCTGTAACGCCTTTTATACACTTTGAGCCTCCTATATAGTATAACTTCGCTTTGCCATACAACAGTGCATAAACTCAATTGACCAATCAGAAACATGTATTCCAAATATGCAAAGTGTGGATTACTCATGTGGTCTTTGGTATTTAAAACATACAGTTGGTGACTTTATCATTCCTATTCCTTCACAGTATGTACCTAGACTTGGATGTGTTATAGATGAAAATTACAGTAAAGCCATGATGACATCAACACATGTCTTGTGACGTCACATTAAAGCTGCACTTTTCTAAGGCCTATATCAACAGAACTATAGGTCCGATTGGTTGTAACTTCGTATGTACCTAACCAAGTCCAGCTATGGTGACGTCATATATTGTGTGATGTGTCGTTCAAGGTGCTTTTTCATATGCCTATATATTCAATTTATTTGTAACTTGGTTTTGTACCCAGACCAGGATGTGTTAAAGAGGAAAATTGAAGTGACGTTTGGCCACAAACATAAAGCTAGATGTTTTTTTTGGGGGGGGGGGGGGTTTGCATGTTTATTTTGGACATTTTTCTTGTGTCCTTCCCTAATTGATTTCTCTTACCTGCATGCTCCCATCATACACTCATTCAATTTTTCTGGATCATGTTACTGCTGTTCTTCATGCTCATTGCTCTCTTGTCATCGTCTATATTGTACATAGCCAGTATTTCTGTATTTTGTGCGCTAGGTTATTCCTTTGGAAGTTATTTGTTTCGTATTTTTAGTATTTCAATCTGTCTTGTATTTTTAGGTCAAATAAATAATAACAATGATATTGTTTTTCAGTGTCCATCTGTGATAGTGAATTGGTTGCTGGGATGATATTTGATACTATGTGGTCACTGATGAACTCATGCCAACATTTACTTCATAATGCCAAGCCGTGGTGCCCTATACTTCAAGATATTGCTGCCATCTTTGTCAACTATGGTAAGATTTTTCAGCAGTAGTTCACTGTTAATTACTGGCTATATTGCAGTTAGATTGTGCAATTTCTACTACTGTACATTGGGCATGGTTCATGCAGGTAGAATGAATGTACATGCACCGCATATGTGTTCATGTCCTTTTTGGCCCAAATACTTTCCATTATAGGCCCAGATACAAGGTCAATGTTAATTTTCGCTGGTGTTATGTAAACAGTTATGTATTTCTTTCTTGACTGCCCTGGAGATAAAGACCCAAAAAATAATTGTCTGAACAGTAACCCATTCTAGCTATATATTTTTTGTGGCCAAATGCAGACATCAAACATTCGTCGCAGAGCTGACATACCGGCGAATCCACCATTTTTGGCGATTTCAAGATTTTGTTATTTTTAGGGTTTATAAAGGTTGCTCCTTTAAGTATTTATGCCAAAATTCTTGATTCTTGTCTGAATTTTGAGATTCGGAGCCCCCCTGTCACAAAAACAAATCCATAATTTGACCTAGTGACGAATACGGAATTTCGCTGGTAACCAGCTTATGAAAGGTGTGCGTCAAAGTACCAACAAATGGTTTTTGTCAGATTGGCGCGCGCGTGCGCGCGATCAGACAAACTGACAAATTGCATACAAACAGTGTGAAGATCAACCGGCTATTGGAGATTTTGTTAATTTGAAGAATACAAACTGACGAATACGTTTACGATCAAATAAATTCATATCGCACAATACTTCTGATTAAATAAGTGACCTAAGGCCCAAAAAAAAAAGTCTCCGGTTTCTGGTATGCGCGCGCGTCGCCGTAGCCATGCGCGTCGGCAAAATGAAAAAGTTTTTTTTTCAATACAAGATGATGTCTCAAAACCGCCAAACTCACTGGTTTGACTCGAATCCTGCTGCTGCACAATTTTAACGTGTTTTTAGATGGGGTTATGATCGAGAATAAGCTTTATGTGGCCTCTCTGGACTCCCATATATTTGCACTACGTTTAGTCGGGCACCAGTTGCAGTCATCAGCCGACATTTGAAGCCAAAAAAAAAAAAAAACAGGTAAAAAAAAAAAAAAAGCCGCGTCGCCGCACCACTTTTGGGACAAGCTCCATACCAGAAACCGGAGACTTTTTTTTTTTGGCCTAATGGATACTACGTTTCCTATTCTATTTCGAATATACACTAAAAGGGTTATTATCGAAACATTAATGGTAAAATACGATGCCCACAAAAATGTCCAATTTCAAACGCGAATTACTCGAAACAGGGTTTTCGCTTATTCATCAGTATGTCAGCTCTGCGACGATTTTATTGCCACATTTGGCAAAATAATGTATTTGAAAAAAAATATATTTAAAAAAAGGGTTCAAGTGTGCTGCCATCATTTTTAGCCTTGTCGTCACTATATGCATGACATATCACACAGCCCTGGCTGTGATTCATTGCATCAAGTGTACCATCCTGCCAGTTGCTATGTTGGTCCAATGTCTAGTGCTCTAGCTGAACCGCTGATCTGCATCACTGTACATGGTGGACTGAGTGACCAGGTGCATGCACCAGCACCAATTTTGAAAAAAAAATTATAGTTCTGTGGAGCGCTGTGGTATAATGGTTACGGTGTTCGGCTCACTTGCCGCGGTACGTTGGTTCGAAACCGGACAGGGAACATGGAGCTTGTGTTCTTGGGCAAGACACTTTACTACAATTACCTCTCTCCACCCAGGAGTATAAATGGGTACCTGTGAAGGTAGAGACCATATTGGGCTGATCTTGAGCTGCTGCAGAAACTGGTCTCATGGCCTGATGAACAGGGGTAATAATTGCAAAGCGCTTTGAGACCTTTGGTATAAAGCGCTATATAAGCACTATATATTATTATTATTCTCCAATATTACGAATCTGTATTTTAAAACATAAAAAAATACATATTAACACACACAAAAAAGGAAATTTATGTTTGTGAAATTACTCACTGAAATCTCAGTTTGTCCTGGGAGTCCTCAAGTATCCATTCCTGAATTCAGATAACTTCCAGATCTCCTTTGCATGGCTGTTTCAGCTCCCCTTCTAGAAGCTGCAGTTGCTCCCAGATCATTCTCACCTATCTCCAATGATTCGGACCTGGCCCAATTTCAAAGCGCTGCTTAACAGCCGATTTTGGGCAAAAAGATCCTCCGTAAACAATGATCAAAACAAAACAACTGAATCCAGAAGAAAAAAAAATGCTTCAAATAATGATGATACAACACAAATCTCCATTAGCACATCCATGCCATAAAATAGTGTTTAAGCAGCATGATTTTCTGCTGTGGTAAGCAGAACTTTTCTGCCAATTGTTACGTAGCGCTATGCAATTGGGCTGAGGAATTTATGGAGTTGGACAACTCCATGATTAACTCTGGTAATCCCTGTAGTGAGAAGAATTTTACTTCCCTCCCCCCCCCTCCCTCATGTAAGAAACATTCTCTTATATCCTGTTGTAGGGAATCTTCCAATCCTATCCTGCACACACACACAAATCTACAGTTCTTTGTGGCCAGTTTTTGTTGAGTTATCTTGGAGGAAGTCTTTCCCAAGGTTCAGAAAAAGAAATCACCCAGAATTCATGGACATGACTCGTGTGGACATGTTTTTAAAGCCAATGCAGATAACACCAGCCACTTTTTTACCATGACTACGATTTTGTCTGAAGTTAAAGACAAACTTTGTTCGGGAAAAGTGTATCGAAAAAAATATTTCCTGATGAATGTTCGAAAGGTCTAGATAAAACTCTAGAGAAATTGGATCATCACATTCGCCATGGAGCCAAAGTATCAAGTTTTTCTGTCCTAGTTTGAGATGTGTTTGCCTGGGTCTCTGAGCAGGGGTGTCAAATCTCCGCTTACTAGAGGATTTCTGCTTTTTTTGTTGAGCGTGCCATATTTTGTTTTCCGCTCTTTATTCTACCGGTGGTCCAGATTTTCCATCACTTTTCCCCCCGCGCGTAAGCATTGAGTTTATTTTAATTTTATTTTCAGCCGCCGCTGAATGCACGCGAAAAACACAATCGTTCCGCTCTACAAATCATGGAGTGAACACAATCGCCCATAGGTATGTGTAGGCTACTGTACATATGCCGTACAATGTGCATGCATTTTTCAGCTCGAAGCCTAGCCACGCTGCCTGTGTACAATGTATTGTACACTACATGTAAACAGCATCCAGGGAACAAACAGTCATTGCGCTGTGATTGACTGCAGATAAATATGAAGATTCACACATGCGCCATGAAACGCATTGGGACTCTTTGCAGCTGTGGCTGTGCCTGTGTCTGTGTAATTAGTGACACTCCGTGATCTCAACAATAACTCACCTTAAACATCAGAAAGATCACTTTGCACACGTCTTGTTGCAAACATAAAGCCTTGAAATAAGACTAGTAAATTGTTGCCTTGCTGATAGAGGGCTTCATGATTCGGGGCAAAGTTCATGTGTGCATTGCTTCCATTACATGTTGCATCCTGCATTCCGCTGCATGTTGCTTACGTAAGAACGTAAGTGTGTTGTTTCGTACGTATTTTCCAACAACATTTGACATTACTAATTCCGCAAGATGTCAATGCAACACAAATGCATACTTGTCCAAAGCGGTTCAGAGTTTTATACCGACATTGACAAGACTGATCCTCAAGTTGCAAATCCCTGGAAATGGATTTGGATGGAATACAACGTTCATAGGCAGAAATTAGGCGACACGATCAGAAAAATGCAAAGCCTGGACATGTGATGTGCATTCTTCGCAGCAAGGAATTGACATAAGGGAGTGGTCGAATTTCCCTGTGAGGTTTACAATAGCCAGAAAACATGAAGTATGGAGCTAGATTTATAGGAAGTTTTTTTTTGTTTGGTGGGGCGGGGCTTTGGCAGACTCACACTCCAAACCTCAATTTTAACACAGTTTTCATATACAAGTTGGCCATTTAGGCAGTTTAGCCAATATGAAGGAAAAGTTAACTTAAAGACATGCATAAATTGCAAAACATTTTCGACCAATAGTTGGCCCAGGAGGCTGTAAAATAATACCACATAGCATCTACATTTCAAAATTTCCATGGGCCCCAGACCCCACGGCATAGGGGCTTCGCTCTTTGTGCTCACATGTTCGGCTATTTTCAGGTTCAACTGTTTTTCAGCTATTTTTTTAGAGCTCCACTCACACCCTGCCTGAGGATCTATCATTATTGGACCAGTATCTTCTTCCAGTCTTATTCAAATTTCGGGATGACTGCTTAGGATCATGCCTACGAGAATTTGCTGCTTGGGCAGCGATCATTTTCTCACTGCACCAAAGGGTAATACTTGACAACCTTTTCTGGCCTTCCAAGGGACCCAGTGAGCACATTGAATATGTACCCCTTATCAGGGCTGATCTATTCAACAATACACCCCAGCAACCGTTCACACTAGACACATTAGGTAACTCCCGGGAGCACTATTTCCCGAGAATATGCACAGTCATTTCACACTCGCAATCAAACCCTGGGAATTGTGCAAGAGTTTGTGGGCGGCCAGTCGGCCAATTTCGAGAAAACTTTCTCGTTTCTCGTAGATGATGAAGTTGAGAAATACAGATCTAGAATTGCTACCTATCCCGGCGCGATGCCCAGCCAGCTCGGCCCGGTCCCCGGCCAATTAACCGGCTCTTCCAGACTGGGCTGCTCCGGCGAACTACGATGAAATGTTCCTGCATGCATTGTCAGAGCATGCCATAAGAACAAACAGGCCTCTTTATACTACCAATCTTATCAAATTGTTATTTTCAGCAACGACTTTGTAGCTTAAAAAATAAACTTTTAAATTGCAATTTTCTTCGGAAAAAAATACGGCAAGTCGTCATGATATGGATGGATCATCCATTGATATCATAAGGGGTGCTTTTCCCTTTTTTTAAGTTTTACATCGTTTCTTGAATAAAATTCTTTACAAAATTATGTTGTGATGATGAACTTATTTTCTAACATGGATATGTTTTGGA